ACAACACAGTGGTGCCAACTGCCATTACAGGAAGAGGAGAAAGCTGCCATATTATGAACTTGCAAATCCTCTGCCCCACACACCCCTGCAGAGCCTGGTGAGGCCAAAATCACATCAGAAATAGCAGATAGCTCTGGGAACTCACAAAACTGGTTCTCCACCACCTACCACATTTCCTACCACAGTTGTAATGCCCCATAAATGACATGAGCTGGTCACAGAAGGGGCACCCAACATCCTAGTGGGAACGCAGAGGTTTTTTTTCTTTCTTTTTTCCCTCTAGAGTTCAGCTTTTTATTGAACATGTTACAAAAGAGGTTTAGTCAAAAAGACCAAAGCCCATGTCATCATCAGACTCCTCAGATTCTTCTTGCTTTGTTTCCACTTTCTTCTCCTCAGCTGGGGCAGCAGTGGTAGAGGGGGCAGGACCTCCTGCTGGTACAGCTGCTGGAGCACATCGACCAGCCCCTACATTGCAGACTAGGCTCCCAATGTTGACATTGGCCAGAACCTTTGCAAACAAGCCTGGCCACAAAGGTTCAACATTTACACCAGCTGCTTTAATGAGGGCGTTAATCTTATCCTCCGTGACCGTCACCTCATCGTCCCGCAGGATGACAGCTGAGCAGGTGCAGGCGAGCTCTCAGACGGAGGCCATGGTGCACGCCGGTGCCGGGTGAGCGCTGTCAGGCACGGTGCTAGTCGCCAGATGAAGTGAGGGCCTCACCCCAACGTGGCCTTAACTTCATTGGAAGGATCCAGCACCTTACCGATAGCTGAAGAAAGGGCACGCAGCATTTTTCTTAATCGAAGCTATATGCCTCTCCACCCTTAGCCCATAGGCACAAATGGTGCCTGTTAAGAGAAAAGAAAAATTTGTGCTACAGCACCATCTACTGGAAAACAAAAGAAACTACCCTACTTATTAACTTTCTGAATAGTTAGGAGCAAAACAATATGTAAACAAGAAAAAAATATCACTACCTCAAATGCACAGAGAAACAACCCATCAAATACTATGATAAACCAAGGTAACTGGAAGCCCAGGAAGAAAATGAAAAGTCTTCAGTAACTAAATCTCAAAGTCATGGAAGACTGTGATTTAAATGGCAGAGAATTTAAGACTGCAGTTATGAAGAAACTCGATGATATACAAGAAAACTAACAAAGCCAATTTAATGAATTCAGGAATAAAATTAATGAACAAAGGAGATACTTTACCAAAGATATTGAAACTATAACAAAAAACACAAACAGAAATTCTAGAGCTAAGAGAATCCATAGATGAGATGAGGAATGAATTAGAGACCATTAGAAATAGATCAGTCCAAATTCAATGCAATCCCTATCAAAATAACAATGACTTTCTTCTCAGAGAATAAATAATCCTAAAATTGATATGGAACCACAAAAGACCCCAAATAGCCAAAGCAATCTTGAAAAAGAAGAATAAAGTTGGAGGTTTCACGCTCCCTGACTTCAAATTGCACTACAAAGCTATAATAATCAAAACAGTATGGTACAGGCACAAAAACAGACACATAGATCAATGGAACAGAATAAAAAACCCAGAAATAAACCCTCGCTTATATGGTCAGCTAAGCTATGAAAAAAGACACAAGAATATACAATTGAGAAATGACAGGCTCTTCAACAAATGATGTTGGGAAAACTGCTCAGATGGTTGTGAAAAAATGAAACTGGACCATTCTCTTACACCACATACAAAAATAAACTCAAAATGGACTGAAGACTTAAATGTAAGGCCTGAAACCATAAACCTCCTAGAAGAAAACATAGGTAGTAAACTATTTGATATTAGTCTGAGTGATATATTTTTTAATGTTTCCTTGAGCAAGGAAAACAAAAGCAAAAGTAAACAAATGGGACTTAATCAAATTAAAAACCTGCACAGCAAAGGAAACCTTCAAAAACAAAACAACAACTTACTAAATGGGAAAATATATTTGCAAATGATAAATATGATAAAGGGTGATATCCAAAAATATATAAGGAACTCATATATCTCAACACAATATTAAACAATCCAATCAAAAAACAGAAAGAGGACATGAAAAGACATTTCTCCAAGAAGACGTGCAGATGGGCAATAGACATATGAAAAGATATTCAATATTCCTAGTCACCAGGAAATTGCAAATCAAAACCACAATGAAATACCATATTATACCAGTCAAAATGGTATTTCAAAAAGTCAACAAATAACGTGTTGGTGAGGATGTGGAGAAAATGGAACCCTTGAACACTGTTGGTGGGACTGCAAATTGGTGTAGCCACTATGGAAAACAGTATGAAGAGTCCTCAAAAAACTAAAAAAGAGATCTACAATACCATCCAGCAATTCTACTTCTGGGTATTTATCTGAAGAAAATGAAAACATTATGGATACAAGTCATGTTTGACTTCTGCAATTACAAGAGGTGCTCAAAGTGGTTACCGTCAGTGTCCAGACACTTCTGATTATGGCGAACTACTGCTTGAGCATAGATAACATCGCTTAAAATGTGTATACATTTTTTTGGCACCCCCAGTATATATGCGAGGCCAGACAATTAAGTTTGCAAACTCATCCTAGAAACAGTGCTACATACCTCATTGCTGAATATCACTTTGGTCACCTTTGAAGTACTCCCCTTGGGAAGCTATGCACCAATGCCAGTGCCTAGTCCACCCTTCAAAGCAATTTTGGAACTGTTTTTCTGGAATGACCATCAGGGCTGTTGTCGTGTTACCTTTGATGTCCTAATGTCTTCCTCTCAATATTTCCTTTATCTTCGGGTAAAGAAAGAAGTCATTGGGGGCCAGATCAGGTGAGTAGAGAGGATGTTCCAATACAGCTATTTGTTTACTGGCTAAAACCTTCTTCACAGACAGGGCTGGGTGAGCTGGTACAGTGTCGTGATGCAAGAGCCATGAATTGTTGGTGAAAAATTCAGGTCGTCTAACTTTTACACACAGCCTTTTCCACACTTCCAAGTAGTAAACTTGGTTAACTGTTTGTCCAGTTGGTACAAATTCATAATGAATAACCCCTCTGATAACAAAAATGTTAGCAACATCGTTGCAACAAGTTCGAAAACTTAATTGTCAGACCTCGTATATATTTCATTCTCTTTTTATTGCAGTGTAATATTATGCTGCAATGAAAAGAGAATGAAATCTTGCCATTTGCGACAATATGGATGGACTTAGAGGGTATTATTTAAGTGAAAGAAGCAAGAAAGAGAAAGACAAATACCATATGATTTCACTAATATGTGGAATCTAAAAAAACAAAACAAATGAAAAAAACAAAACAAAACAAAAACAGGCTCATAGAAAAAGAGAATAAAGGGATGATTGCCAGAGGGGAGGTGATGGAGGATGAATGAAAATGGTAAAGGGAAATGCAGTCAATAATATTTTGATAACTTTTCACAGTGACATATGATTACTAGAATTAGTGGGGTGATCACATTGTAAGGTATGAAAATTTCGAGTCACTATATTATAAACCTGAAACTAATACAATATTGTGTACCAAAATATTTAAATTAAAAAAAAGAGTTGGAAAACCTATATAGACCAACTATTAGTATCCAATTTGAAACAGTAATAAAAAAACCTCCCCTATAACAAAAGTCCAGGACCAGGTGGCTTCACCAGTGAATTGTGCCTAACACTCAAAGAAGATAATAGCAATCCTTCTCAAACTTCTCCAAAAAATTGAAGAGGAGGGAATACTTGCAAACCCATTTTATGAGGCCAACTTTACCCTGATATTAAAGCCAGATAAGGCCAACCACAAAAAAAGAAAATTACAGGCCAGTATCTCTAATGAACTTAGATGCAAAAATCCTAGACAGAATACTCGCAAATCGAATACAATACATTAAAAGGATCACACATCACAATCAAGGGGGATTCATTCCAGGGATGCAAGAATGGTTCAACGTCAACAAATCAATCAATGTGATGCACCTCATTAACAAAATAAAAGGTAAGAATCATATGATTATTTCAATAGATGCAGAAAAATCATTTGACAAGATACAACATCCATTTATAATTAAAACACAAAAAATGGGTGTTTTCATTATAAATGGATGTTGTACTTTGTCAAATGTACAACATCCTTCTTCATAAAAAATGTAGAAGAAAACTACCTCATCTTAATAAAGGTCACAAATGACAAACAGTCAGCTAATATCATACTCAATGTTGAAAAACTGATAGCTTTTCCTCTAAGATCAGGAACAAGACTAGGACGCCCATCCTCACTACTGTTATTCAACATAGTGCTAATAGTTCTACCCAGAGCAATTAGGACAGTAAAGCAATAAAAGGCACCCAAATTGGGATTGAGGAAGTGAAACTGTCATATTTGCATATGACAAGATTCTATATATAGAAAACACTATAGACTCCACCAAAAGATGATTAGAAAAAATAAACAAATACATTAAAGTTGTAGGAGACCAAATCGATATAAAAAATCCATTGTGTTTCTGTATACTAACAACAATGTCAAAGAGAAGTGAAGATAACAATCCCATTTGCAACTGCAAGAACAGGATAAAATAACTAGAAAAAAACTTAAAGGAAGTGAAGGACCTGTATGCTGAAAACTATAAGACATTGTTGAAAGAAACTAAAGAAAACACAAGATAGGGAAAGAACATGGAAAGATATTCCATGTTCATGGATTGGAAGAATTAACATTGTTAAAATGACCATATACCTAAAGCAATATACATATTTAATGAAATCCACATTAAAATCTCCATGGCATTTTCAAAGAAATAGAATTTAAAAATCATCAAATTTATGTGTAACCACAAAAGACCCCGAATAGTCAAAGCAATCCTAAGAAAAAAGAACAAAGGCAGAGGTATCACATTCCCTGACTTCAAACTATGCTANCCAAATATGTACAAAAAATTACAGAAAAAGGGGTAATGTAAGGACCAAGTAATTCCAAGTAATATAAATTATAAAGTGATATTTTTTGTTGTTGTTTCTTTTGTTAATACTTTTAGGTAGCTGTGATGTTCCAACCAGGTTACTCTTTGCAGCTCTCAAACGGCCTTATAACCAACAGAATTATTTCCCAGCGGGTTCCGTTGTGGAATATGAGTGCCGTAGGAGCTACAAAAGGAATCATTCCCTGTCAGGAAAAGTAACTTGCCTTCAGAATTTTACATGGTCCAAACCAGATGAATTTTGTGAAAGTGAGTATAAGTTTAAAGAGTATTCTTAATCCTATGGTGTTTGAGGAAATAGTATTTTTTCATTCATATTGGAAGTCTATGTATACATATTTTCTTTAGAATGATCCTTAAAAGAACAATTAGAGTCATTTTATTTTAAATTAGGCAAACTAAATAAATAGTTTTGAGATAGGAAAATTAATTTACTCACAGATTTCACATTTGATTAGTTTAAGGCTACCTTAAATGAAATAAGTATACATGCTATATATGTTCCTTTTTTTTGAAACTTATCAAATGCATGTAGGACTTAAAAAGCCTAGGAATAAGAGATTATCAGTGATTCAGATGATGAATTTGTATAGATGTGCCTGATACTTTAATGAAAAACAATTTAAATTATTTTCTAGAAAAATCGTGTCCTAATCCTGGAGAAGTAATAAATGGTTATGTTAATATAACAACTGACATATTATTTGGTGCATCCATCATCTTCTCATGTAAAACAGGGTAAGTTTTGATATACTAACCACTCTATATTTAACAAATGAAAAAACAAATTAGGATGTATGATGGAAGTTTTTAGATTTGAGGCCAGTGTTTATAAGCTAATAGCAATAAAACTACCCTTTAGTGAAAAATTTTTCCCATGAGCTCATCACAGTTAAATTTAGTAAAATGTGGCAAGAAAGGAAGATTTCTTACACCACCAAATTCTCTCAATTCTTAGATTTCAGTACATATGTGATTCATTATAAACTTTTAAATGTGATGAGTAAAGGAAAACCTTATAAGATGTTGATGATAGTTGCAAACATTAAATCCAGGTGTTGAATATGAAAGCAGTTTGTCATTTACCTAAATAATAAATTTGCTTATGTTTTTTCCTATATGCAAACAACCTGTTATAAAATATCATGGTTTAAAAAGCTTTACCCTAGTGTGAAAATACTATTCTGGCTCAAGTCTTTGTGCCCGAAATTGGAATGATCAGTTATTTGTGTGGAGGAAAGGAAGTCAGTCATTGAGTATCATCAGTGTCTCAGGCACTGCTGAAAGCTTTATATTTGTTTTCTCGAAAATTTAATATCTGCAAATTGAATTATGATATTTTACTCTGTGTCCATTTATTATAAAATAAAAAGATCAGTATCACTTGTCTTCTGTACTAAACATAGCTATTTGGATCATTAATATAATTAATATTGAATCTGGGAGTACTTTGAAATCTTTAAATATAAGTACATTCTATTATTCTATGAAGCCTGTATTGCTCTTTTAGAACTCAAAAATATATTCAAGCATCTATCTCATTTTAAAATGCTTTAAAATACTTTAATATTCTCTCACATGTGCTCCATCCCAATAAAAAATGTTTTGCATGTCTTATGCTTTTTTATCCTTTGGATGTCATCTTTTTAAATTTAATTTTTTTTCTTTAAACTGCCATATGAACTGTTATCAACTATTGTTTTGTCTTCATCTACTGGAATAGTAAATATTTTAAGATAATATTCTGGAGAATTTAAGGGAACCAACCTTTTTTTTCCCCTCATTGTTTAGGTACAAATTAGTTGGTGCAACTTCTAGTTACTGTATTCTTATGGGCAACACTGTTGACTGGAGTGATCCATTGCCAGAATGCAAAGGTAAGACTGAAAAAATCTAAGCCCTCAGGTAGTGGGGCTGAATAATCAATGATAAATTATTTTCTGCCCACTAAGAATTATTCACAGTATATATTGGTAGTACCCTNGCTGAGCCCGCTTGGTCTTGTTCCTGAGGCTGCGGAGTCCCGGCGCGCGGTTCCTGTCCCCGCGCTGTGGGTCCTGCGTGGCGGGGCGCCCGCGCAATGTTGCGCCTCCTCCTCGGGGTGACGGTATTGCTGCTGCTGCTGTGTCCACAGGCTGTGCGGAGTGAGTGGGGGATGGAGACCTAGCTGAGCTGGGTGAACCCTAGGCTGTGTGGGAGGGCCTGAGTCGGTCTCCATGACATGACAACTGAGAAGTCTGGGAACCTGGGGGAGGTGACGGATGTGGGCATCGGTAATTGCTCCTGTAATCCTCTACTTTTAAGACTCAGAGCTCTTACAGGCACCATCTCGTGGGACAGGAAGAGGATCTCCGTTGCTAACCAGCAATTAAGGGTCTTGCTGTGGTGACCAGCTGGCATGGCTTTAGGAGTGAAACATGGAGAGTTCGGGAAGCACAAACTAAGTATGCAGAACAGTCAAGGATGCGGAAACCAAAAGTCAGGGCTCAAACAGAGTGACTTCTCAAACCCCCAATATCTCTTTAAGCAGGGAAGGCCAAATGGCTGACCGTTCCTCGCCTCTAAACAGAGTCCAGTGATGTGCAGTACAGGGCGCTACAAATTTGCCCATTCCCTCCAGGTGTAATGTTCCAAGGGGGCGTCTGTCTTTGTTGCGTGCTTAGCAACAGTATCTAGGCAGAGATAAATACTAAAACACACACACACACACAAAACAATAATGAAGGGGACGGGTTTATTCTCGACTTATTTTTGTCTTGAAATTAATTGACCAGACAGGAAGCCTGGCAACTTCTTGGTATGTCAGCTCTGCCCTGGATGGAAATGTTACGAGTACCTCTAAAGCCATTGCTGCTTCCCTTGTTCACTTAGGGAAGGGAATGCTGCAATCAATTGAAAAGTGTTTCTTCCTTCAGTTCTGGTTTTTTCACCCTAGGTGACTGCAGCCTTCCCCCAGATGTACCTAATGCCCAGCCAGATTTGGAAGGTCGTACAAGTTTTCCTGAAGGGAGCACAGTAACATACAAATGCAATAAAGACTTTGTTAAAGTTCCTGGCAAGATAGCCACAATAACCTGTATTAAGGACAATGAATGGTCGTCGATTGCAGAATTTTGTAATCGTAAGTTCTTCCTTTCTTTTTACAAAAATTATGAAAATGGAATGTGTCTTTTTATGAGAATGGAATGTGTCTTGTCAAACTTTACCCCTCTTTGGAGTGACGTGTAACTGATCATTTTCTAGCATTATTAAACCCCAGGGTATTCTTGTTGGCACTTCACACTTCAGCTAATTGATCATCATTACTTCCTCAAATAGCTCCTGCTTCTCCATTAACTGGTTCCCCTCACCTCCACCCCCCAACACAGTACCTCCTGAACTGACTAACAGAAAATAAACGATAGCTACCGTTTTTTAGGGAGTAAATTGAATATAAATATGTTTGGCAATTAATTTGTTGACGAGGCCCACTTGTCTGCGGTAGGTGCCTGGCTCATGAGCCAGGCACCTAGAGGGTTAACCTGATTGGACTGGATGAGGAGATTAGAAAACAAAGACACAGAGAAGAAAGTTGGGCCCTGGAGGTCCACTGTCCGCTGATGGTGGAAAGTGGGCACTGTTTATTGCTTGCACACAGTTTTTATAGCAGAAGTAGAATTCTACAGGTAAGGGGTTTTGGGAGCTTGAGGGAGTAGGGTAGCAAATATTCCAGAAGTGAGACAAAGTACAGCAAGTAGAAACTGCTAACAGGCTGGCAATTCACTCTGTAACTTTCAAGGCTGTTTGTGACATAGACTTGCAGCAGCACAGTGGAGAATAAGCTTATCTAGCAACCTTTCCCACGCTGCTCACCCGGGCCTGAGAGCCTGTCAGCTTGCCAGCTGCCAGGCTTAACCCTTACTGCAAACCTCCAGCTCTCCACACTTTGTGACACATAGGCACTCTATTTTCTTAAATTTCATTTTTTTAATTAGGAGTTACCAAATACAACCCTGTGATGGCATTATTTAAATGTCTGTATATTTACTTAATCTATGCATAGCTTTTACATATACAAGGAAGTGTAAAGATAAGACTTGTTTCCTGCCCTTGAACAAGTTGAAGCAATGGAAGCTACAGTAAATATAGAAACTGCAGCAAATATTTTTTGAAACCAGGTATGTAATTGGCTTTATCTTTTTAAAACTCTATCTGTGATAGAAGACAGTAGGTTGAATACATAAACCTTTGTATGTGTATCATGTTTCAGAGTTTGTAACACTTCTGCATTTATTACTTTCTCTAATCCTCCAGATAACTCCACGAGGTGAATAGGGGCTCATCCTCACTTTACAGTTGAGGAAACAGGCCCTCAGAAGTTAAGTAACTTCCTTGAGATCAGCAGCTCTTATGCAGAAAAGCCAGGGTTCAAACTTGAGTCTTTTGAGTATAAATCCAACACTGTTTCCACTATGCCATGCCTCTATAATTCATATTTGCCCAGATGTTTAAAATTTGTAAATATTCTTATGCACGCACTGGTTCATCTGATCCTGTCCCCATGGGTTGTTGTGGGGATTAAATGAATTTATATGTGTAAAACATTTAGAAATATTCAATAACTATTAGCTAGTATTGTTACTGTTATGGTTGTTGTCCAGGACGTTAGCCCAGGAATCTGGAAATATCGGTTCTCATCTGCTGCGGTGCTGCATGGGGCGGGTAAGAGAA